CCTAGGCGTGGGGTGAGTGGGTGTCTGACTGCGGAGGGGGGTCGTTCCTGGGGGGCTACCTGCCGAAAGTCTCCCGCAGGCCTCGCCCCCCAAAAATGTCCCCCCCGCATCCGTAGGGCCGCTGCAGGGGCCGGAGCGCGGGAGTCCAGCGAGCCCGGAGCGCCCTCTGCCGGCGCCAGCTCCGGGGATCAGCGCCCACGCGTCCCGGCTCGCCCAGCACCCCTGCGGGCACCCACCCTTCCCTCCTGCGGGCGTTCACGCCCCCACAAACCTCCCCCTTCCATTACACAATGCCCCAAACCAATCTTCGCCCCAGAACACCTTCTTTTCTTTACACTCCATCCACCCATCCGTCTGTCCATGCATCCGTGCATGCGTCCATCTAAAAGATTACTTAGAGAGCCCATTAGGCGCCAGGCCTGGTTCTAGGCGCTGGGTTCCTATAACAGGCAAAACAGACCGGGTCCTAGGCCTCTTGGAACCTACAGCCAAGTGGGCTGAGCCAGACACAAATGAAAACAATGAAAACTGAACTGCTATTAAGAGGTGGCACCTTGGGCCATGAGAGGGGAATGTGCTCCAATAGCAGTGGAGGGGTTGTGTCCTAGAAGAAATGATTCTTACACTGAGAGATTGGAAGGAAGAGGAGTTAAGGAGAGGAGGGAAAGTGTCCTGGGCTAGAGACCAGCCTGTGCAAAGGCCCTGGGGCAGGGAGGAGACTGGTGAGCATGAGGATTGAAAGAAGACTGTAGGGCTGGAACAGAGACGGGGAGAGGGCTGGGGACAAGGCTGTAGGCGTCAGCAAGGTCTGTGACAACCTTCCTGAAACACCCTGCACACAACCTTCCTCCAAATCTCTAGCACAGCTGCCCACTCAACTGCCTCAACCCAGGACCTCCCACATGGCCCTGTGTCCACCACCTCATCCCCCCACCAGTTCCTAGCACCTGGCTCCGCTCCAAGCACAGAGTCCAAGCACAGAGACAGGAATGCAGGCATGCACTGGTTTTATTTGGGACCTGATTCTGGACAGAATCCGCCTGGCTGGGCGCTCAGCTGGCCCTGGTGATCACAGCTCACACTGGCAGCTTTCCCCTCAAATCCCAGGTCTAGGACTACCCTAGCCTATGGCCACTGTTCCCACCCTGGGCATTGGTCTGATTCCAGGTAGTCTGGGTTCCCCACTCCTCTTGATCCATAAGGCCAGTTGCATGCGCTCATAGCACTTCCTGTCTCATGCCGGGTAAGGCCCTCTTCTTCCACTGGGGCATTTTCAGATGGGCCCTGCGTCCAGCAGGGTGGTGGTGATCTCCCTCCTCTTCAGGGCCTGGCTGCCAGGATGTCAGGCCAGATGCTAGGGTGGCTTCCTGTTCTCCTTCTTCAGCAGGGAGCTGGCCACGGCCAGGGCCCCACCCTGCACAAACCTCACAAAGTTGTCCCCGGCCAGTGGCCCCACAGCGTACAGACCCTCCTGGCGGGTGGTCTGGTAGGTGAAGGGGTCCACATCGATGGGGTTCCTCTTGGCACTCAGCGGCTGGTCGGGGTCTGTGGCCAGGTCAGCGCCTGCCCCAGGGAGGAAGGAAAGATCAGGGTGGGAGCCAATGAGGACCAGCACCAGGGACACGCCGAAGACCTTCTCAACACCCTGCAGGTCTTGGAACACGGCCTGGCAGTCCTCCTTGAAGAGCAGCAGCTGGTGTTCAGGGAGGCTGCGGTAGCCCTCGTAGGGGCTGGGCGACAGGATGGACTGCTCCCGCATCATCTGGTGCACCTTGTGGTACTCGGGGTACAGCATCTTGGGCAGCTGGTTGAACACCAGGCCGGGGTCGTCCACGGGCCGGCGGAAGGCGTGGATCACTGGGATGTTGTAGTGGCGCGCATAGAGGACCGCATCAGCTGCCGACAGCCCCGCGCCAACAATGAGGACTGGGTCCGAGGCTGGGGTCACTGCGCCCACTTGCGTGGCCACCTCCAGGGCCGACAGCTCGTGATGGACGAAGGGCAAAGCCTCCCCTGGGATGCCTAGCCGGGCCGGGCTGTCGAACGTGCCTGTGGCCAGGACCACGTTGCGGGCACACAGTGAGAAGGGCTGCTGGCTCTGGTCCTTGGTGGTCAGGAAGCCACTCACCTGGAAAAGGGGGCTGGGGTCCTGGGCCCCAGAGTTGCTGGGCTCAGGCGTCCCCCATTCCACAGCCGTGACCACAGCACCAGACACAAAGTTGTGGCTCAGACCCTTCTTGGTCACATAGTCCCTGTAGTAGTGGGCAATGTCCCCGGCTGTGGCCCGGCTGTTGCGAAGACCTCTGTGGGGGAAGATGCAGAAGGGTGGGTGTCAAACAGTGGCTTGGGGTGGGACAGGGGGTGACCAGGGTGCTGTCAAGACTTGGAGCTGGACAGTGACTACACCACCCACTAACAGTAGAACTGGGCCAGGTGGCTTAACCTCTCCAAGCCTCAGCCCCCTCTTCTGTCAAATGGAGCTCACGAGGTATGTCCCCCAGAAGGGGAGCTGTAGGCTGGGGTTCTGCGTGGCCTCCAGAGCCACACTGCCTGGATTCAAATCCTGGCTCTGCCACCGGCGAGCTGTGTGCCTGAGACCCTGTGATGATGGTGGCAGGACCTATTTCCTGAGGTTGTTGAGAGGATCCAATGAGCTGCTTAGAACAACCCGATGGTGGAAAGTGGTATAGAAGAATTGACCACCTTATCATCACCTCAAAGGATCAGATAACATTCTCTGTAGTTATGGTAGGGTTCCATTTTTATAAGGTTCAGAAACAGGCAACACTCATCGATGGAGTCAGAGGTCGAGAGAGAGCAGAGAGGGGGCTTCTGGGGGGAAGGGCTCTATTTCTTGATTTGGAAACCCAAGTGTATGCACTGTGAGAAGTGTCATCAACCTGTTCCCGTAGGAGCTGCGGACTTTTCTAAAGAGAGAGCAGAGAGGGGGCTTCTGGGGGGAAGGGCTCTATTTCTTGATTTGGAAACACAAGTGTATGCACTGTGAGAAGTGTCATCAACCTGTTCCCGTAGGAGCTGCGGACTTTTCTATATGTAGGCTATATTTTAATTACAAAGTTGATTTAAAAATATCCCACATGAAGCACTTACCATAGTCCGCAGCCCACATGGTAACAGCAGGGGCTATTTTATTATTGTTGTTGTTGTTATTACTGGTATTACCACCCTTTCCAGGGGTGATGGCTGTGGGGCCAGGTGCTGGTGGAAGAGGTCTGGCTGTGGCGTGATCTCAGCGCCTCCCTGTGTCAGGGTGTGCAACCTGAGGTGAGCCAAGTTACCCAACTTGCAGACACACTGTTAAGGTTGAACTCACTTACTGGAGCATCCTGTGCGACATGCCCCCTGGCTACATGCCCCAGTCGTGGCAGGAGCTCAGACACCACTCCCAAGACTACTCTGGCCAGCCCAGCTTAACCAGTCTGCTCCTAGAACTCGAGCTCTGGAATTCATCTCTGTGGGTTTGTCATTTCCCCGTCCTCAGTCCTTGTACACACTGTTATGAAGAACCATTCTAAGGAGATGTCTCATGTGGGGCTATTTGTAATGACAACACATCGGGGAGAAGAAAGCCCTGTGGCTGGGCGGTGGGTTAGTAACCGTGGCAGGGCCACAAGGGCAGGGAGCGTGTCTGTGTGGTTTCTCGCTCTGATTATGTGGGGCTATTTGTAATGACAACACATCGGGGAGAAGAAAGCCCTGTGGCTGGGCGGTGAGTTAGTAACCGTGGCAGGGCCACAAGGGCAGGGAGCGTGTCTGTGTGGTTTCTCGCTCTGATACTGAAGACAAGGCCTGACACGTAGTGAGCATTCAGTGGAGGTTTGCTGGACTGGGGGATGCTCGCCCACTTTCGAGAATGTTACGAGGCCATGCAAAAGGTGGTCGCAAACACTGTCGTCACCATGTGAGGTGCTGACGATGGAATGCTCGAATGTAAAAGCAGGGTATTGAAGGACCTGTTTACAGTGAAGCGTAACCTCCTGTCTATATGTTAACACATCACTACACAGGTGTGTATCTTGCTACCACATTTGCAGGGACCGAGAGTCTTTGAGTCAAAGGGACAGTGAACCCTGGAGAGGCCGTGAGCCCACCTAGGTGTCTGCCTGGAGCAGCTTCTCACATGGGTCCCTCTGCGGGTGCAGCCCAGGATGAGCAGGGGCCAGAATTCATGTATTCAGTCATTTGACTGTTTCTCCAGAGTGGTCAAAGGTGTTCAGTGTGGTCATGATGGAGCAGGAAACCAGACGGGGAGAAAAGACCCCAGATGTGACGGTGCTGGGTAGAGGGGTGGGGTTGGAGGGCACTGTCTTCCTTTTCTCAAGTTTCAATGTTCTGTAGTGTGGTTACGTTTTCCATCAAAAGCATTAAAAAATAAAGGAAGCTCATCCTATCAGCTCACCTAGAAAGATTGTTCCAGGCTGGGCTCAGAACATGGGAGGGGTGGCAGAGAGGCCAGGGGCACGGGGCAGGGCATGGAGGGCAGGGGCCAATTCTTACCCCCTCTTTAGAGGGTGAGGTGCTATGGGGAGGCCAGGTTGGGGAGGGGCATGTGGCAGGGTGGAGGGAGCAGGGGACAGGGAGTTCTGGAGTGAGCCCAGCCCAGTCCTACTCCTCGTGTGGTGCTGGGCAAGTCCTCCTATCTGAGCCTCAGTTTCCCCCTCTGGAGGAAGAGGAAGGCAGACCAGATGAGCCCTGAAGCCCCTCTACCTCTGGCTCCTGGGCTCAGTGCCTGTATGCAGTGGTGGGGGAGGGGAGTGCGTCGCAGGGGGCCTCACCTTCGCTTCTTGCGCATCCAGTCCTTGACCTGCAGGTCAGGGAGCCCCATCCACTGGCCTTGGCTCAGGGTCACCATGGAGCCTTCGATGGACTGTGTGGAAAAGGAATCCTTTAGTCCAGGCCTCTGCTAGCCCCAGAGCCACTCAGGGCTGGGGACCAAGGGAGGCCTCTGCTGGGATAGGTGGGGATAGAGGAAGGGGAGGTAGGTTGAAGGGGAGGAGGGGGAGGAGGAGGGAAGGGAAATGGGAGGGTCCTGACCCTAAGCTGGAGAACAGGGAGGGGAATCTCCCCAAAACAGGAAGTGCATTGGGCCCAACCCCCCTTGCACCCCTCCCTGCCCCCACGCACATGCCAGGCTCCCCCAGGAAGGTTCCGGCCCAGCACCACGTGGGAGATGGCCCGCTCCTTCTGGTGTCTCCATGTGAGGACAGACTCCACGTTTCCCCCGAAGTCCGTGTCTGGGCGCAGGAGGGCATCAAAGAGCAGGGCCACAGGGCTTTGGCAGCGGCCCTCGAGGCCTTCCGATAGGTAATCCAGGTCCTGGGGAGGGGGCACAGGTCAGAGGGGCCGCTGGGGGAGGCGGGTCGTTTTCTCAGAGCCTCAGGCTGGGCAGGAACTCGGGGACTGAGGCTGGAGGGACCTGGTCTTGCAGAGATGTCCACGCTGGGGGCTGTTGGGGACTCTCACTTTCGGGTCTCTCCAGGAGTTCAAGGGCCCCAGAGTACAGGCTGAATGGGAAAGCTTAGAAGGCACGTGAGCAACGGCCTGGTACTGCATTCCTGCACTTGTCAGGGTGGTCAGGTAAGCTTGGGAAATGCTGCCTCCCACGAGGAGATATCGAATGCCAGCACAGTCAAGGCTCTGACCAGTCCCTCAGCTGTCATTCACCCATTTAATTTTGCCAAACCCCGCGTCTCTCAGGGCTAGTGGAGTAGGGACATTTTCTCTGCATGTTATGCTGAAGAACTAGTGTTCCACAGAAGGCACTTTGAAGAATGCCGACCTAGACCGAACAGTCTAGATCTATTTCCTCCTGCCTGACTCAGGGGTGGGAGGGGACTGGGAGGATGGATGCTGCCTGAAGGAGGAGGTGGGCAATGAGTGGCCTCATGGAAGGCCAGGGGCGTGGATGGAGGATTTACAAGCCCTTGTGGGCAGGGGGTGCAGGACTGAAATATCTAGGGTGGGGTTTCTCAACTCTGGCACCCCTGACATTTGGGCCAGATCATTCTGTGTTCTGGGCGCCATTCTGTGCACTGCAGGATATTTAGCATTCCTGGCGTCTACCGCCTAGATCCAATAATGCCACAGCTCCAGCTGTGACAACCCAAATTGTCTCCAGACATCACAAGTGTCCCCTAGGGAGCAAAACCGTCTCCTTGTTAAGAAGCACTGGTCTAGGGTGGTGAGACGAGCTGATGTAGCATTTGTAGGTCTCAAAAAGCAGCCCTGATTTCTCTTTCATGGTTTCTGTGGCTGATTTCATGGACGGTCATGCTCTGTGTTTGGTCTTGTTCCCAGCAAACACATGCTTTCATTTTTCCCTGGGAAAGCTGGGATAGTTTCCTACCAGTGGGTGTGTCCTCCCCAGAGCTCAGGCCATACCTGGTCCAGAATAGAGACCCCCGGAGCCTCGGTGAGCTTCCTCTGCAGCAGGGGGTGTGGGTGGATGGCGGCTGGCTTCACATAGGGGGTGTAGCCTGAGAGCAGGTAGGACAAGCAGATGCCCGAGGGGCCGTTGCCTGGGGACAGAGGGCAGGGGTCAAAGAGGGCAGGCTTTCTAGGTGCAAGAGACCACTGCTGAGGGCTCATTCATTCATTTATTCATTTGTAACAATAAAGATAAAAAAAATATTAAGCCCTTAGCCTGCGCCAGACATTGTGAATAATAATAATTAAGAAAAAAATAATAAACAGTTGTCGTGCCAAGTAAGATAATAAGAGCTTTTAACACCACCACCGCCACCACAAGAACTTTAGTGAGCTAAATGCTAGTCTTTCTTCTTTTATGCTTGAGAAAATTGGCACAGAGAGGTTAAGTAACTTGCCTGTGGTCACACAGCTGGCAAGTAGATAAGGCAACAACATGACTAAGATTCTGAGATCACTAAGAACTAGTCCCATCCTTCCAGAGCTGATGGACAAGTAAATACAGTACAGACTGCTCCATGCCTTGTGGGGGAGCCTGGGGTGGCGGTGCTCAGGAGGGGTGCTAGGCCACCTGTGAGGCCAGCCGCTCCCGTGTCTGAGCAAATCACACTGCTGTCTGTGGCACTTCTTGGGCCCAACCTTGTGACATTTCTTCTATTCTTATCTGTCTTCCCCCCCCTTCTTGTCTTGTCCTGCTCAAAATATTACCCTCATGCAGAGTATTACGAGGAACCATCTGAAATTGCCAACATCCATCTGTTTTTTGACTTACAAAAATGACTGTTTCACGTGGCCCAACTTGATGCTTGCATTCTGGGGGGTGTGTCTTTCCCATTTTTGCAGACCTGAGGACAAGATCCCTATGCCACTGCTGCATGGGCACCTTGCACAGTGCCACGCACAGGGTGACCACGGACACCCATGCAGGCTTAGGACCAGGCCTTCCCTCCTCCCACTGGGTAACCTCCGCAGATCATTCTATTCTTGCCTCCTGGGTTCTTGGAAAGATTAAATGGAATGATGTTTTATAAATTGCTAAGCATAGAGCCAGCCACATAGCAAATGGTCAGTGGCTTAATTTAAAGACAATTGGAAAGAGGCCAGGCCTGGCCTTGCCCAACTCCTAACTTTAGGCTTTGGGGGCACCTGAGAGCTCCAGTCCCTCCCCCTGCCTGGCCAGGACACTCACCGATGATGATGACGGGGAGGGGCTCCGAGCTGCTGGTGATGAGGTGATCCTTCCTCGAGCTCATGGCTGTGGCTGTCCAGGGGCTCGAGGCTGGCAGCTAACCTGGGGGCAGAGGGGAGGAAGGGCCCACTGGGGTCAGGCTTGGGTGTCATGCAGCCACTCCCCAGCTACAGGGCCAAGGCCAAGGTCGCCCTGTGGCATATCATAATGTGACTCCCTTCCCCCTCCCTGCCACAAGTCCCTCAAGTCCTCCAGTTCAGCCTGGTGGACTTTGGAGTCATTGTCTGGTGAGGTGCTTCCTAGCTGGTGACCATGGGCCCATTCCTAGACCTCTCTGGGTCTGTTTCCTCATCTATAAATGGCAGTCATGAGAGTCCCTGCCTCACAGAGTGTTGAGGGACACAGTAGGATAATGTACTTGAGGCGCCTGCCTGCAGTAAATCTGCCACCGGGAAAGGACCAGAGCTTATTGGCTGATCCAGGGATTGGGCTAGAACCTTTGAACTTCAGGAAACTTTGGAAACTGGAGCAACCTGGTTTAGGGAAAATGCCCGTAAGCCTGCCCATGTCTGGAGCACCATCGCCCCCTGCTGGCCATAGGCCCAAACCACTCAAAGGGACAAAGCGTTGCAGGTGCCAGAGGGGCGTGAGACCCACCTTCTCCACACCCCGAAGCCAGCTGGCAGCGGCCACCAGCCTCCCCACAGGCCACAGCCCTGCCATCCTGAGGGCCACAGGCAACATATGTAAGGGACGGTGGGCATTTAGCACTTCCTATGTCCAGATATCTCACAGTTTTTTCTCCTCACGCTGACTCCATGCAAAAGAACTGTCGATGATGTGATCCCATGTCACCGACATGTAAATGGGGCTCACAGAGGCCACACACGCTGCTCAGTGTCACACAGCCGACTTTTAAACCCAGGGCTAACTGGTGCCAAGTCTTTGCCTGTAGTCACCATGCCACTCAGGTTGTCCCCAGAGGCAACCCAGGGCTCATGGAGGGTCACACACATGCAAGTGAAGGAGTGAGTGGGTGGACCCAGAGCCTGGACCGCCCAGAGTGGCCAGGGAGGGGCCTAGGGTCACCAGCCTCCAAAATTCTTCCAAGGAAGGTGGAAACCTGGATTTGTATGCGAATTCCCTGATTTGGAAAAGTGGGCAACTAATTTACATTTTTTAAAAATTTTGAGCAGACCAATGAAACACACCTGAGGCCAGTGTGTGACCGCTGATGTGCACATAGTGACAGAAACACCAGTGTCTGCCGCCAGGCAGGTCCCCAGCAGATGGATGGGCTGGTGAGAGGATCTGCGTGTTGCCCCCACAGCGACAACTGACCCTCCCACAGCCCTCTACAGTTTACAGATAGCACTTGGTCCTCTCAGCAGCCTTCCGTCTTGCCCACGAGGAGAGGGAAGTTCCCAGGGTGGAGGATGTGCCCAGCATCACATGGTGGGGAAATGGCCAACAGGGACTCCCTGGTCAGTGCTTTCAGCTTCCCTGAGAACAGCCTTCCTTGCCTTAGCTGGGGCCCAGGGCCCAGCCAGCCTCCTGTCCCCAGCATCTGGGAGAGGAAAGGTGGCATCCTGCTGACACTGGGACCACGTGGCCTTCTCCATGCCCAGGTCCCTGCAGGGCTCCATGTTGTCTGCCTGGGGAGAGGATTTGGGAGTAACACCACCACCACTAATAGTAACAATAATGGTAATAGTAATAACTAGAAGAAAAACAACACATGGCTAACATTTCCCACATGCTTCTATGCAGTTGGTGAGGGCCAAGCATGTTCTGAACGCTTTCTACACATTAACTCATAATTGTTATGAGTACTCTATGCATAATTGTTATGTACCATATCACTCTGTTACAGATGGAACTGAGGCCCAGAGAGCTGCTCACAGCCCTTTGCAGTTCGCAGGGAGTTTGTCCCAGCTCTCGCAGCCCTTTGCAGTTTGCAGGGAGTGTGCCCCAGCTCTCACAGGCGGAGCTGGTTTTGCACACAGGCCACTCTGCTCCAGAGCCTACTCTGCACCTGCCCCATGGTATGAGGACGGCTCCTGCCCAGGCCCCTCCAGGCTGGGCTGGACCTTCAGTACACATGCCCGTCCCTGCTTGCCCTACTGCTCTGTCCCAGTGCTGGTGGCAGAGAGGAAGGCCATGGGGAAGCTGATGTTCCCAATGTTCCACCTGGGAGGGGACAGATCCTCAGTAGCCACAGGGTGCTGAATGTGCCGAGGCCTTGGATAATAGAACCGTAGTTCCTAGAGTACTTTCTCCCACTTGCTCCTGGTACTTTCAAATGGCCCCAGGGCCCCTTCCTCCTCGTCCTCACAATCCTAGGAAAGTGCTTCCTATGCATTGTCGCCTTTAATACTCTTGACAACCTGCTTTACAGATGAGAAAACTGAGGCTTGGGGAGGTAAAGCCATGCCTCCAAGGTTACAGAGTCAGTGCATGATGGAACTGAAGTTTGATCCCTGTGGGCTGGGCCTGCCTAGACACCCCCAGCCCCGCCCCCCAAGATGAGTGTGTCAACCTGCTCCGCGTGCCCAGCATGCCCACCCCAGGCCACGCCCTGCACCTCCCTCGTTCTTTTGAATTCTCCCACCACCCGGGGAGAAAAGCACTTGCCACAGCCTTCCTGACTAAGGAAGAATCAGAACAGATCGCCTCTTTCCCACCCTTCAAAGGAGACCGATTTACGACCAGGACTCCTGGAATCCAACTCCAGTGCTCCCTCCTAGTACCATCCGGCACTTGAACAGAAGCTTCTAGATGCCACACACATGAGGTCACCACCCAGGGGCTGGACCTGAGAGGTCACTTCCTGTGCAGAATGATACAGGATGGGGCCGGCCCGGTGGCGCACTGGATAGTGCGCCGCTTGGGAAGCGCGGCGGCGCTCCCGTCCGAGGGTTCGGATCCC